ACCACAAAGAGACTCAAAACCACCACAAAGAGGCTCAAAACCACCACAAAGAGACTCAAAACAACCACAAAGAGGCTCAAAGCCACCACAAAGAGACTGTGTGGTTTCGAGTTGTTGTCTTTCTCATGAGTTTGAGGTGTCGGTGTCTTTGACATGTTTCTGATCAGAGAGCTGTTGTCTTATAACATATGAATACATGAAGGCTCTGCGTCAGTAGTTAGTTGGGGGCATCACCAGAGAGATGTTCCACCATCCCGACATGGAGGAAGAGGATTTATGAGTTTGAATCCCTGAAGTTTGAGGAGAGAAGAAGTGTCCGTCAGGATTAACACCACGTTGTGACGTCTTCATCCTGACAGCAGCTTTACTCTCCAGAGGAGACGCAGCATGAACAACTTCTTACATAACGCGCTCACAATAAACTGCACTTCTACTAAACAGGCTGACAGGAAGAAGGTCTGTTTGTTAAAGAACTGGCCTCAAAAAAATACAAGTCAGCAGTTTTGAGGATGGAGCGTCATGAAAGCTGTGATCTGACAGGAAGTCGTTATCCGTCCGGGCTTTGATCCAGAGAAGCTGCTCGTCTACTTTTAGACTCGTTACCGCTGATTCACAGCAGAGCTCTCATTCTGAAGACCTTCATGAGCTTTTTATTCTTTATTTAGTTTTGACTCGTGCTGATAAAGTGGCGTTTATAATCACGACCCTGGCTAAATGTTGGTGGGTTACCTGGAGTCTATCCAGTGTATATAACCTGTCAAACAAAGCATGATGGGATGTCTCATGATCTCCTTCTTACTTATAAGAAACTCCTTCAGCAGGTTAAGTTTATAAATGGATATTTAATTCTAATAATTGATAAGAAAACACAAAATATTCACTGACACAACTTTTCCAATGTGCTCTTCTCTGCTTTATATGTAAAATAAGTATAAAGTACCAAACAAGGAGAAAACACTTCGTTAAATGTACTAGATGATATTAAATCACGTGAGCTGAGAGATGAACTCAACGTATGAAATAGTTTAAATCTTCTCAGAAAAGAGGAAATAAAGTAAAAAATAAAAAGTATGAATGAAGTTTCCATCATAATCTCTTCACTCAAAAAAGTAACACAGTGCCATCTACTGGAGCTGTGTTTACATGCACTATATTTAAATAAATATTTATATATTCATATACTTTTTTTAACAAAAAACATGACAAATGAGTTGATAAACAAACAAACAAATGATTTTATTTCTGCATCCTGAGTCTACCTTTAATAAAATCTAGAAGATTTGAACGATACAGATTCATAATCTGTTGATTTTGACACATCATTTAACCAAAAACACAAAAATAATACTTGTACATGATCACTTCCGACATGTCAACAGCTCGTCTCTCCTGCTCACTGATTGGTGGATCGGTCCGTTTCCGTGGTGATGTTCTGGTCCCAGTAGCCGTACCAGTCCAGCTGTGAAGGTCTGAACAGAGATAAATAGAAATAGATATGTCATCATTCATCTGCTTTTTGATTTTAGACCAAAAATCTTCGCATTGTTTTGCAGGTGAAATATTTGGGATATTAACCTCCTCTGTCTTCGTCTAGTTCTGCAGCTTGTTTCAGCCTCCTCACTCATCCTCACCTCCTCCTCCTCCACTCAGCCTGCAGCCTCTCCTCACCTCCTCCTCTCAGCCTGCAGCCTCTCTGAGCCTCCTCCACTCAGCCTGCAGCCTCTCTGAGCCTCCTCACCTCCTCTCAGTCTGCAGCCTCTCTGAGCCTCCTCACCTCCTCTCAGTCTGCAGCCTCTCTGAGCCTCCTCACCTCCTCCTCTCAGTCTGCAGCCTCTCCTCACCTCCTCACCTCCTCCACTCAGCCTGCAGCCTCTCCTCACCTCCTCCTCTCAGTCTGCAGCCTCTCTGAGCCTCCTCACCTCCTCCACTCAGCCTGCAGCCTCTCTGAGCCTCCTCCTCTCAGCCTGCAGCCTCTCTGAGCCTCCTCAACACCTCCTCAGGACTGAGAGAGGAGTCCACTTTGATCAGCTTGTCTCTGGACCTGGAGCCCTGCAGGATCAATATAATGATTATTATGTAAAGACAGGCTGAGGAAGGATAGAGGAGGCATACAAAGGTGACTGTGTAGGACACATGAGGGGAAGCTGGTGATGTTTTTTAGGAAACCTTGTCGAGAGACACGCGACTCTTCTTCAGGTCCAGAACTTCAGCCAGGTAGCGGAGGAGCTCGGCGTTGGCCTCTCCGTCCATCGGAGGAGCCGCGATGGCGACGCCCACCGCCTCTGAGGAGACTTCTGGAAGAACAGAAGAAGAGGAGACGGCGATGTTCCCTCAGGTTGTCACGGTGACGGTGTTGTGTACTAATAAGACAGAGTGTGACCTCTGACCTGTGACCCCGCTGTGTTTGGAGCCGGGCTTCACGTGAACCACGATGGAGACGGATCCACTTTTGTCTCGGGACACCGGACAGGAAGCTTCTTCTTCTGCTGCTGTGCCTGCAGCCGCTTGACCTTTCACCTGGAGGACGTCACAGTGAGTATGTCCAGACTTCATACTTTATATCAAAAATACCACTCATTGTACACAAACAGAAGTAGCTGCTTCTGGACCAAACACAGGTATATATTATATATCTACAAATGAATGAATAACTTCTGGTCTCTAATACAAAGTAAGGCTCACTTTGACCAGATCAAGCTACCAGTAACAACATGAATATAGCTGTTTTACTACAGTATCTATATCTATCTATCTATCTCTCTATCTCTCTATATATATATATATATATATATATATATATATATAT